TTATGTCTGGGTCAGAAATGACCCATGTTAGGCGTACTAGGGTTAATGATATTAGTGCAATAACATCTTTAACCCGACAAGAAGTAATCGGTGTCATTTTGGTTAATTTTTTTTCTTGTTGATTATACCGATAAAAAAAAAGGGTGTGGGTGTGGGTGGGGTGGGTGTGAGGTGGGGTGTGGGTGTGGGTGGGTTGGGTGTGAAGTGGGGTGTGGGTGGGTGCGGATGTGGGTACGTTTGGGTGTGGGTGTATTTTCTTTCTGTTCATTCACACCCACACCCACACCCCGACGAACATTATCGTTTGACTCATAATTCATAGATTCTGCCCCGTTACTGCAGATAAAGTGACCATGACATCTAGTACACAAGTGCTTACAAAAGCTGCTGCCCAACATTTATGCATTTGAAGATATGCGCTAGATTCTTGAAGATAGCACGCACAGTCATGCAATGTAGCAGAAAGTATTATCAATGCTTTCATCTAAAATTCTACTTAGCTATATTCAACGATATAAACATCTAAAGAGATCCTCAACCAACGTCATCATCTGCCATACCCTCATTCACTGTCTAATCTAATATTTCCTTCAACCGCTGAAGTCTGCACACAATAATTAATATTCCTAGATCTCCGGCTAAAGATGCCCATTGAATTTCGTTGGTACGAGTGTTGATAGAATCTAAGCTTCCATAAGGGTGTGGGGCATGAGTGTGGGTGGATGGTGGTGTGGAGGTGTGGGTGGAGAAAAAATGCCTCTACTCATACCTATTCACACCAATACTCAACCACATCCACACCCATACTTTACCATACGAACCTCCTTAGTTACCATTCCATAACAAAATCACAACATACCCCCATAAAAACTATCTCCTCGAACAATGACCGAATAGACTAATAACACTTTTTTCACCGCTCATTTGCGAAAAAAAACTTTCACTGATCAACTAAATCGTTCCTGGTTGCTCGCAGTTGATTACTGTGACTGAAAAATAAATTCTCCACCTTGTCAGATATGTGTCGAAAAGACAATTCGTTTTCGAAAAATAACTTCCATTGAACCGTTCATAACGCACACATACTACTCTAAGGGCATATGAAAAAACATCCTGTCCGTATAACTAAACCGTTGCCGGTCGATTGGAAGTGATTATCCTGACTCAGAATTTCATTCTCGATCAATTGATATATAACTCAAACAAAGAACATATCCTCGAAAAAGAATTGCTTTAAAACGTTTATACTAGACATATAATTGGGGTAGGAGATATGTAAAAAATGTCTCGCTCAGGGTATGGGTATGGGTGGATTGACAAAGAACACCAGTACATCCACACTCGCCCACCAACATCTCACATCCTATAGAGCGTGTTGATTGCAGAATCTAAATAAGCAAAAGAAGTATCTTGTATCTGTGGAACGATTATTCAGACAGATTAGACTGTTTCATTGAGAATGTTATGACTACGGATCGAGTTCGGACCCAACTTCAACTTTCAAGCAAGATATTGAATCAAGTCCGACTAGGAGCAAGATGTGTTAGACGTTCAACAAAATGCTTGCAAGTTCAAACTCAAAAGTTCTGGATCTAACTGGTTCTAATCCTCAACCTCACTCATATTTAAACTTGCATCCAAACTCAGTACACAAAAACCTCTGAAACTTGAATCTATCCAAATCCGAGTAAATCTTAGTAAGGTTGAATGTAGTTGAGAAGGAAATATTCGCAATTGTAGCGCCTGCCCTTATTCTGGAGTATTTCATTCCATGAGAAACTAACAGACTGATATTGCTGTTTTGATCAAGAATTGAGTTTATCTGTTTTCGATCGATTTGCGCACATTCAAATCGTACACCTTGTTTTTTCGTTGATTTTTAGAGCAGTGAAGTTGCCGTATTCTTTTTTCAGTTGAAATGAGTTAATATTATTCATTGCACTACACACAGTCTCGTCCCCATCAGCTGCCTTCATTTTTTTTGTTTGTTTAAGAAGGAAAGATGTAACTTAAATAAATTGAAGAAATACATAGTATTATATTAAAAATTGTGTACAGTGTAGAGTACTCAATGCATGAGCTTTTTTAAAGACTCAATATTTTAGACAAATTTATCTCGCAGTTGACTCGATGGTTTATAAAAATTTCAAAAAATCCTGATCATTTGAATAATCTTAATCATTAGCACTGTTGTTACTTTGTCACCGTTTTTTTCTTTCTTCTCTGTTGTAATTTTGTTTCGTACCTGAAGCAGGCCCTTTCTCACCATGTGGAATCCATAGTACAGAGGAGAACTGAAAATAAACAGCGTAGGTAATCAGCATCACGAAGAAAAAACAACACTTGAAAAAAAGCGTTGCTTGGAAAAAACCCAACAATTTTCAAACAGTCATTCATTTGTAATACACTCGATTATTTAACAAACACAAGTTATCCTCAAAAATTGAAGGTCGAATTCAAGCGTGAGTAGACTATCAATATCATTAGATTTTTTCTTCACTCTAATGCAAAAGATGATTAATATACACATTTGCAGAAAGCAAAATATTGATGATCGAATTCATCGATGTAGTCAATAGAAAATTGGATAAACAACTGCAGTGTTTGTTTGTCTATTCCATAGCACTCTACTCTTTATATTGTAGCACTACTCAAAAATGAAGATTTAGATAAATCAGAAACAGACATAAGTATTACGACCATTAAAATGAAGGTAAACTGATGTATTGAGTAACAAACACATATATTGGACAATATTTTTTGTTTCCATTCCCACGGAACCAGAAATAAAGTGAAAGAGACAGTCTATATTCAAGAGAGGTTCAATGAAAGCATCAGGATTGGTGCAATCATGTCGCGAAACAGGTTTTAAATGGAATCTCATAGGAAGTTAAGGTTTTATATCATAGAATAATCCAAATTGAGATGCTTTAACGATCTACTTCTGTTCTGCTAGAATGGGTTGACTTGAGATATTCCCTAAAAATATCTACAAAAGTATCAAACATTAGACTATCACTTTTTGTGAATTTTTCTCTTGATATGTCTCCGCTATTCAAATTGATTCATATATCAATATATAGAGCTTGCTTTGCTCTACATACCTGTAAATACGGTATATCTCGTTACTCTTACAATAAAGGCGATAGTTTTAGAGTGGTTTTTGTTCTTTTTTTCATACATCCAGACTTAAACCCTTAACCAAGATTATGATTGACTTGTTTGGCTTCTCCTTCAGATAATTAACAATTACCGACTTTGATTGTTTTGATCATATATCGATCGTTGGCTCTTACTACTTGATTTATTCACTCGTACGACCCGTAAGTATTATTATCACAGCAATTTATATAACAGTTGCTATTCGCGCAGTGATATTGTCAACTGACAAGACCTTTTTCTATTGTTTGGACATCTTGTATACATGAATGTTAGCAAAATATACCATCACACACCTTCTGCACCGTTTTACCGCGATCTAGTCAACCTGATAAGTTTGAAAATCTGCATTGATACTACGAAACACACAAATAGCACCCCAAAAAGTACGAAGATACCGTCTATCGCACGCGACTACTGTCAACATTTTTTCTGTTATCCTACACAAGTTGCATTATAATGAATTGGCTTTCGACTCATTCAGACTTTTCTACTAAAATTAATTTTTGTGACCCAAGTGCGAATTCTCCAGACTGATGTGTTTTGTGTGATCAAAAACAAGTGAATTTCCGATAGAAATTCGAATGAACTGAAAATCAAATCATTAGGTAGACTTACATTTGATTACAGAAAAATGAATGATAGTTAGCGGTAGTAAGAGAGT